GCTGTTTAATTGACCTTTTCGTCGTTGATGAATCTTCCGCAAAAGCTTCGCCGTGAAGCTTTTTGCGTAATTGATCGTGGAACTGATTTCCGCTCCATTTTCCTCGAACTCTCGCAAACTTCTTTATGCAAACCGACTATGTTTACAAAAGCACACGACATCGGGAAATTCTAAATATCATAAATAATGCTTACAAATAGAGTTTAAATAAAAACTTTCATCTTTTTCGTGTCAAAAAGATGCAACGGTTCACAAATTATTAGCCTAATCCCAAAATCTATAATTTACTTAGCAGAACTCCAACCTTTTAAATAATAATTTAACCAAATTAAGACGTATTCGGACTGTAAACGTAGGTACAATCCTGATGTATTAATGTATTAACATAATTATGTGCTGATGTATTAATATGGATCGCTTATTAATTGCCATAATTACATTATCAATTAATGCATAATTGAGATAAATGAAACACATTTTTATGAATTTTAAGTACTTGCTTACGAAACGGACACATAATTAATATTAATGTGTTTAAGATTTTGAGACAAATTACGGAATGTCATGAGACTGTATACGCGAAACTAATGGGCTCATTGGGTTATTATGACATCATTATGTCTGCGCTACAATGTAAACGTAATCCGCATGCATGCACGGTTTGTCGCTCTAAACGTAATTATAATCCCGGTGATTAAAATGTACTCGCAAATGCATTTGAAAATGCATCGTGTACGCGGAACGCGCGTCGCTCAAAATATGTTGCCTTATTATAAGTCACGTTTTCATCGGATAATTCATATCTCAACATCGAAGAACATTATTTTTTAAAAACGATGGTTAAGGTTGATAAGCGAGACTAGGTCCACCGACGCGCTGGCAATAACAGAATTCGATAAATGTACTACCAGCACATAGAGATAATTATGTATGTCACGATTCAATTATTAATTAAATTACGGAGGCGTCAATAATAAGGGCAATCAACCGAGAAATGTTAATGGAATGTATTTCCATAAGTGTAATTAAAAATCGGTAGAGTAAACTGTATTCTCGAAACAAATATATTAAAATATACTTATTTTGCATCAAGAAAGACATTTTTTCTCTTACTGAGAAAGAGACAGGGGGGAGAGAAAGAGAAATTGTGTTTAGACGACAAACTGAATAATTATTGTAAAAGGAAAAAGTCACAAGCGTCGAAGAGGCGCTTTGTTCCTTACGAAAAGCAATCCTTCGATTTGCATCTGTTTTATTCATCCTCTTTAAAGATCATAATTTATTCACGTTGTTACACTCACATCAATATGTTGCACGGCGACTGTTTGCGAAGATCAATTGTGCTAACGTTTATTTTATTTATTAATTTTTTTAGCTCAATCTTACTAATGACGTACACAAAAAAAAGATTGCGAAGTAAATCTAAATTTAAGTGCTTTCGATTGACACCGTTAGGAAATGGGAGAAAAATTCATAATGGCGTCTGCAAAGAGATCGGAGAACAAAGAAAAGTGCAGTTATTACTATACGTGCAGTAGGGGGAGAATCATCGCGTCACATAAGTGACAAAATCATGCGAAGAAATAAGTTGTTAACATTTTCGTAAATTGGTGCACGCCGGCAGAATCAGCGTTTATTCTTTGATAATCCCGTTAGGACACAGTTTCGACACAGCTGTCACTGTGTTTTGTTCTCAAAATTATTCTTCACGACCGCGACGGAGAGAAATATCGCGTTTGCGTCCATTTTTACGTTTCGTTAGCACGAAAACAAGATTTCACGGGGCTTAATTAACATTAAAAATTCCATTTCTTCTTTAACGATAAATTAGAATTTCTATTAATAGAGAATCTTGACGTTTCATACTCTAACTTATGTTCGGCGACGGTGTGCAAAAAGTTTCGCGCAGGGAGTGTTGCGAGGGTTACACCCGAGGCTCTCACTACCGTTTCGAAACCATTATCACCGCGAAAGCCGCTCGCCTGAGCACACTAGACATAAATAGAAAATTCCATTACATTGGGATATAAAAAAAGCACGAGGGAGGAAAAGGGAGTAAGGGAGGAAGAGAGGGAATAGAGGGCGCAGATTTTTTCTACCATGCGAGCATGCACCATTGTTTGATAGCTCGCACGAATATCGATCGTAATAGCGCCGGGTGACGTCGCCGAACGCAGATTGAATGTGTCCAACTGGAACAAAGCCTCGCCCGTCTCGCTTATCATACTTTAACACCAATGAGAGCGCCGCGAGGAAGTTTTTCAATGAGAAACAGTAGCCGCGAGGAAAACAGCTCGAGAAATTTTGCGTGATTAATTACGATTCATAAAACAAAATGTTATATAAAATGTACAAGGAAACACTTTTCATTCAGAGACAGATAAGCATACACGTTGATTTGGATTAGACATGTGCAAATCAAGGAGTTTTTTTGTATAAAATCGAGTGTAAAGTGGAATCAAATTTGATTCCCTTTTTCAAATCCGAATCAAATCGACAACATTTCGTCTCAATTAGAGCAAATCAAGTTAAATCAAATCGAAACGTTGCAATATAATTTTTAATTAACAATATAATTATTTAAAGAATTATTTGACGCCAGTAACTGATTAACCAATGTAAAAAATTGGTTGACGACGCTCGGCTGGCAAATTACAATTAAAGAAATTGATTGCGAAAAATATTACCTCAGCCAGAGTTTGAACCTGGACCTTCCTACGCTCTAGGCGGGCGTCTCACCAATTCGACCACTGAGGCATGTGGTAATATTTATCGCAATAAACAGTACTATAATATAATTATTATTAGATTGAATTTTAATACATAAAATGACGCAGATAATAAGAGAATGCTGCCACGTAAAACATAATATTAATTATGTAATATAAATTCGTTTTGAAATAAAACACAAATTTAAATATTTAATAAAATATATTTGATTTAAGTCGCGGTAACAATTGAGAAAAAATTCGATAAATTATTAAAATACTCTAATGCAGTATCCAATAAAATTATTCAATTACATACATAATAGCTAAAATAAAATAATATAGTTTATTTTATTATCGATACTGTTTGGATCTAAAGGAACCAATCACGTTTCTATTGTTAGCCGCTCAGTGTGTAGGTTGTAATATTGAAGGCATCCACTGAATGTATTCCTATTAACATGACTGTAATGTTTTACTTATTAACAGAAAATATAATTTTATAATATTGATAATATTATATTTGATTCGTATTCAATTTAGATTCTAAATTTTCGAATAGTTTAAATTTAAACCATAGAAACTCAAAGTCGAAGCGAACCAAATTTCACCCTAACTCCAATCTAATCTAACACGACTCGATTCGAGTCGCATTCGAATAATTTACATAACATTACTTATCTTATTCAGTTGTTTGATGTAAATTATGACGTGAAAGATGATATGTAATTACATTTGAATAAGTTAAATTCGTCTTTTTAACCAGCGTTACTTAACGGAGATCGAAATACAGTAACATTGTGTAAGAAAATTAATGGAAAAATAATTAAGTAATAATTAAGATCAGTGACACGCGGACGATGAGAAAGTGGCGTCTGTTTTAACAGGTGGGCATCGCGGGCATCAAGGGCAGACGGTTTGCAGAATGCCGACGATAATTTACATCGTCGTCGAGCCGGTATACGGTTCTCGACCTAGATATTAACGTAAATTTTATATAACGCGAGATATCGCTAACACTTTAATAATCGATACCGACTGACGAGAGTTTTTATAAAACGATACAATTCGGGGCTTTTACGCGGTGAAAGACCCCTGCATTTTACAAAAAAGCAGTGTAGATGAAGCGATTAATAATGCAAGATTTTTCATAACCGAGGTTACAGTTAAAAATCGAAACTTTCCATTTAATTTCAGGTAAATCTTTTATCGATGTTACTTTAACGGAATTTTACGGCTCAGTTATTAAAATATCGGATATTAAAGATTAAAGCGGGACGCGAAAAATGAAGCAGCGCAATGAAACGTTTGCTAAAGAAATATTTATTTTAATTTGTTCAAAGAATTCGCCTGCAAAGTATTTGCCAAGCAATTCAATAGCGCTCCGCAGTAGATTTAAGATATTTTAGAAGTTGCTTTTGATAAAAAATTACATCACTGTTAGCTTGTACCGTGTATTGAAAAATTTAATTATATTCCATTTTGTATATTTGCGTCCAATTAATTCGTTTTACATGCCACAATAGTTTAGTTTAAACGATAAAATAATGAATATTTGTTTAATGATAAAAGGTGTATTTTTGTATTCACACACAGTGAATTTTCTATAATTTTTACATTTTATAGTCTTTGCATATATTAATTTCCCGGTTTTTTCTACTCCACGTTTAATTTTAAATATTATATTAATATTACTGTACTATTCGATTTATATGAATTCACTACTTCTATATGCCATAATCCTGAATGAAAAAAGTCGATACTATCCTATAAAATGGAAACAAGGAGAGAAGGTATTACATAGTCAGACACGGGATACTCGTCCTTTTTTCCCGTTAAGCAGTAGGTCAACATTATTTGATCTCGTTCCGAGGTATCGCTCAACTCTGAACTCATTCAGAGAGAATAGTACATATCCTAAAGAGCTTGGGAAGCCGGAAACTATGTCTTCTTCAGGCGTAGCTGTCTTTCACGCGCAATCGAAATACACGCAAGAGTCTGTCGCGTAAACTCGCGCGATATTACGGGACACGATAGTGCCGGGTGTGCGAAGTGTAAACCGTCCCGTTGAAAAGTTATATATAAAAATCTTTTTGTAACGTAATTGAATTCCTTATTTTGATAAATTGTTGGAGACAACATTTATCATTTTTAGAGAGTATTAACTTACAATAAGAAAATCTAGCCGTAAAGAAGGGACTTCTTCAACTTGAAACCGCGTTTTCTTCACGATTTTCATAACATATCGTAATACAAAACATCATGCTATAACGTCACAGTTATAAAACTTACCTCGCTGTCTATCGTAGGCGTTTATACACTCGCTCGTCATAAACTGACTGATAAGGGCGGTTTTTCCAACTCCTCTTGTACCTAACATAGCGACGTTGTGTGAAGCTACTTCTTTGGGCGGCAGTCGTCGTTCCTCGTTTTCTTGATCGGCAGGCGCCAAAGAATTCGATCTCGATCTTCTTCTTCTAAATGAATCTCCTCTATTGACGACACCTACCAAACATACGGCAGTCATTAAAACGTCATACAAATAGAGGATACCATGTAATGCTTTAATTCCGTAAAAGAGTTTTGCATTTCTATAAAGCCAATTAAAAGATTACTTCTAACGAAGAATGCCGATAAAACGGACGGCTTTAGGATCCCCTTAATATCAATCGATAATATCGTAAAATTAAGGCCCGATAAACGATAAACGTCAGTAATAATTTTTTTCAGATATGGTTTGTCATTATCTAAGTACAACTATTATAAATCATTATCTCGTTTTACATAAATCCCGACTCCGTGCTCGCCTTATTTTGTAATCCCTTATACTTTAATATCGATATTCACGTTCGATTTGCTTATTCGTTAATGGAATATATGTATTTCTGTATATTCACGTTTTCAAAACACATTGTACATTCTAAATACGCGCCCTATGCAGCGCGTTGACCCCGGTTAATATTACTAATACCATGTTTTGCGTGGGCATCATTTTAATATGTGCTTGGGATTGGTGGAAAAGATGAGCGGAGATGGGACGGTCGGAATTCTCAACACAGAATTTCATCTCTTAATAACGCATTTCTCGTGAAATATGAAATGGATTTCACAGTCTTCCAAATGACGGCAATTATGCATATACATAATTCCGTTATTGGAATATGTGCTGCGTAAACGTAATCGAAAATTACAATAAACGAATTATAATAAAAAAGTATAATTTGCTTTGCATTATTTGCAGAACGTAAAATATTGACGTAACGTATAAGCATTAATAATTGAAATTGTTTATTAGGGGAGAAAATTGTTTTCTATTTATTGAAAGAATAAAACAAATCTATTGGTCATGTTAATGTTTTCTGGAAATTAGTTTCCGTGGCAAACTATCAACTATGTTCTGATAGTTAAACGCATTTAGCAGCATCCTGAATGTAACCAACACAAAAACATTCAGCATTGACACAAAGATCGACTGTTCCTAGATTCGTGCATTTGCGTTGAAATGGAAAGCCGTTGGAGTAATGGATTTACACGATCGCTTCCGATCCATTGCCGATAAACGAAATTTAATGCGAAAATTGAATTGGTATGTGGCTGAACTTGTAAATAATCCTTAGACACTGCAAAAGTAAACTTTGGCCATCGAACACGTTTCTGACTCTGTGCTAATGCATTTACGTTGCATTAGTAATTGCACGTCAGATCGAATCAGCTAACAAAGCGAAAGTTTGCACCTGTGTACGGCGCGGTTGTTTTCTGGGCATTAAACGTGAGAACGTGTAAGAACTAAATTATTTTAAGTGAAATGCTGCTTTTCTCGTAAGAATTAGATTTGCACAATCACAAAATTAAAAATATAAAAAGAATAAAGAGAATAATAAATGGGACCGCTTGTGTGCGCGAATTAATATAAAAAGTCATTTATTTTTACTACATCTAGTTACGTTAGACTTTGTAAGCGGGTAATTTTTGTTAAGAAATTTGCAAATAGAGAAACATAGATCTGGCATGACGACCCTAGGTATATTCAGAAGTTCATAGACCTAAGATGATTCATGAATCCATTTTATCTGTAAGATGACTCATACATCAGTTTCGTATCATATGTGTGAAATGACTCAAATCCAAATCTCGCGTTTCACAAAATTACGTGTTGATAAAGCGAAATATTCTGAAATTTCGATTGCTATTTCCGTGTTACAGTTTTTTTTAAATTTTATTTGCGTTTTTCAGCTTGTTACGTTTTGTATTTAATTAAATTTCCTTTCAAAATTATTTTACTTTATTTATATGTACATAATTTAATTTAGATAAAGATTAATTATTATAAGAATTCGCTATATTCGTATATATTATTGGTTTCAATACTGGCGTACTTCATTAGTTTACTAAGCTCAATTTATTAGAGCAGCACAATCGTTCATTTAAATTTCACTTGAAAAAATCTACTCTTCCTCTCTCTTTCTCTCACTCTTTACAATATAAAATAAATTAATTACACGCAGATGTTTCTCGGCGGATAAATACTATCTTCCTCCGCATTAAACCTGCTTTGTTAGAAAGCCGGTGAACACCAATAAGAATTAATTTTCCATTGTACCTCGAATCGTTGGGAGATAAATTTAGACTCTCGGATCAATTCTGCCAAAAAGTTGACGGGCATTTGTTATAAATACGTAGCGCACGCGTGTAAAGCTCGCATTCGATAGCGTACGCCCGCATCCGCGTATGTACACATGCACGTGTATACGGCGATGTCAACGTGCGGCTGTCAACCGTTGGGAGAACAACGCACGTCCTGTTCAGCGACTCAGAACACCGATATCCCGTCCGTTCGTCTGTCCGTTCCTTCCCTTTGTCTCGCACCTTTGTCAGCGCGAAGTTTAGCCCGACATGTGTGCTACTTGTGCGCGCATACTTGTACGTACGAATGAATGAAAACGGGAAGGATCGATCGCGCTGAAGAGAGAGTGAAAGAGAGAGAGAGAGAGAGAGAGAGAGAGAGAAAGGGGGGGGGGAGAGACGGAGAGAAAATTGGACAGCGTCGGACAACTCGCGGGGACAATCCGATTTCCGTTCCGGCTTCGTTAAATCCGGAAGAACTTCGTATCACACTCGAACGATAGTCAGACGAACGTTAGATGAGACGGCAGTATTTCTCTCCAGGCGTCGTCAACTATTTTTATCGGTACGAAGGCGGCGGTGGTGCGTTTCGGATGAAAGTCTGACAAATTGCATGGCACGTGGCACGTGATGAATGGCATGCGATATTAAACGATATTGGACGCTATTGTATAATGAAATATAAAATAATGCGGCAAGACTGAGCGTGATACCAAAATATTTCAAAAGTGACGGCAAGTGTCTGAAACAAATGCCAACTTTGAAAAGTTACTCGTACCTTCTAGATACTTTCCGATTTCGAGATGATGATAAAGTGGTCACTGATAAACGTTAGCCGGGGAGATTTAAAAAGTATGATTTGCGACTCGAATGCCATTTATTAACTGTAACGTGATTCCCCGTGATCTCAATTATGGAAACGTATGAATTATTTTACTGCAGCAACGCAGCTTTGATAAACGTATTGTATATCGTTATTTATATACAATATACGTATACGTATAGTCGAATGGAAAATGGGTGTCGATTGCAGTACACCATTGATTACTACAAGGTAATGTCACCTGACAGAAACGAGCCGCGGGTCGCTGCGGGACCGTTATTTCCCACGTGCTTTTGATAAAAATATCACGCGGCGCTCGGCTGAACTGCCACGATGCATTGGTGCGAGCTTTTTCATGCTTTTGCGAAAGTAAGTTGTTTCACAGCGAAAAATGGGGAGGCTTCTCCTCCTTCAGCCATGCGTTCGTTCGCGCGCCTACTGGTTTCCGACGAGCGAACGGCTGGCACGTGGTGCAGGTGCACCGATTTGACCATCGAATAGGTGAGGTGGATTCTATTAATAAAAGTTTGAACGTTTGAGACACGATCAACGAAATGATCAACGGCTGCCAAATCGTTTTGCATACTTCGACGCGATCTTTCCGCGCGGTGAATGATTCGGGAGGAAATTTCACGATGCGATTAAACTCACCATCTTTTCACACCATCGTTTGATGTTGCCCTAGCACTAGGTATATAAGCTAAGTGTTTATGTAGATGTGAATGCGCGCGCGCGCGCGTATGTGTGTGTGTGTGTATGTTGCCCTGTTGCTTTTGAACCGTTACGTTCATTGATCCAAGATGTGTAAAGGCGATGTTGTAGGCGCCTCCTAGACTTTGATGTTGTTTATATTGAATAATTTCAGGATAAATTAAGTAGAAAACTCTTTATCAGATTTTGGGAATAGAATATCTACACTAGTGAACATTGCCACATTTATTAGCTCATAATGACAGATTTAAAATAGCTTCGTGGTTTAAAAGTGTCAGAGAATTTTTAGATTCGAAATAAGATTCTCAATATATAACGCGGGCCTCCGTATCTTTAGAGCCTTCGGCTTAAGAGCGGTTTCTTCCGTTTAGATTTTTTTTTTACATATTCCAAGGGTGCAGCGTCTTGTGCCGAATATAATCTAGCGGCGAGACTTTGCGAGAGAAATTTCTCAGAGGTACAAAAATGGTTTTATAAATAGCGAATGATGGAACAGATCTCGACGTGCAGTCGCAACCATATAAAAACTATATCGCTCTCGTGTCTCAGCTGCACACTTAAATACCATATGACATGTTCCAAAATTTTCTGATGACGCATATCTGGCAGTCATCAGAGACGGTAATCGAGGCGCTGATCACCTCGCTGTCGTCATCTCTGCCGTCGCCTACTCATTTTTCCTCTGCCGGCTAACCGATGGGTTATCGGCCTGGAGAGCCTGAAAGTCAGTTTTACGGCAGGTGAAGCGTGTTATGGAAAGCGCACCGTTGTATCTTTACACACTCCCGTGCTCACAAAATCGAATTACATTCCGATCGATACACAGCAAAGTCAATAGAAAGAAAGAACGAAGATACTGCTCGCCTTTTTTTTATGCATAACGCCATTTTTTATTTAGACAGCCGGAAGATCAGAACGATAGAGCGGACGGAGTGTTTCGGCTTCGCGTAAAATATTCAGCGAGACCGTAGGTTGAATTTAATTATTGCATTATTAATTTAAATCGGGATTTAAAGTTATTAAATTAAATGACTTTCATATTAAGTATTCAAATTATTGCCATTTATAAATTAGTAATCAACGATAAAAGCATTTACACGTAATAAATAAAATAGATATTATAATTATTTTGCAGATAGCATATCGAAATTAGTTTATTAAAATGTCGATCGCGTAAAATTGTTTTCTCGAGATTGCACTCTAACGTAATGCAAGATGATGTTTCGCAAGGGAATGCAGGTAAATTTAGATGACTAAATGTTTCTACAATCCCAAGTACAGCTAATTATAGGAGTCAATGGATGTCTAAACAATGAGAAATAAGACAACCCCCCGCCCACCAATTTCC